GGTTCCTATCCTGTCAAACATCTCAAAAATAGTTTTATAATTTAGGATTTAAAATAACTAGAAATTTGGTTTCATTTCTCCTCGTAAGTTAACATAGAAGTTTTTCAAGGCTTCCCTTTAAAACAAGCTCAACAAACTTCCATTTTTATGAGAAAGAACTTGAAGCTCCATTCACAATCATTTGATTCTTAAAGTTCGGGCTCCAATATACTCCTTTACAAGATTCATCATCAGCTCTTTGTGAATGAGTCTCCAAAATTACAGCAATAACAGCACAGTCAAGTCTTGCGTTTTCAAATCCCTTGCCCTGGGGTATTCCCCAGCACCCATAACCGAATGGGGGCTGGCAGCACTTCCACATACCCCGAGAGGTTCCCATCAGCTAGAACGCGATGGCATTACAGAGTGCTTGAAGCAACAAGCTAGACAGTTAGTAAACACCGCTTGTCCTGTTCTGTTGCTGCATTATCTGCTCAACAATCAGCCTGTTCTCAGAAAATGAGGACAGTACTGACCTCTGTGATGGTGCTGCGGTGAGTAAATTCAGAGAAAACAGGACAAGAAACTGAAATGTACAGAACTGCTTTGTTTATAAAGGATCCTTTCAAATCTATGCAGCATACACCAACATGGAATAAATCTTACATTTGCTTCATCATTTAAAAGCAACAAAATCAGCACATACCATATGCTACCAGCTGCTTTACAGAAATAAATTACCACATCGTATACACAGCCTCGTCAATGTCAGCTGATCATAAAGGTCAGAAAAGCAGTCACTGTTAAAAATTTCAAAACGTAAAAAGCAAAAAAATACTCCCAACCCTGCTTACAAGCCCAAGAACACCAACCCAAAACTAAAGTAACATCAAGCAAGAGAAAAATCTTAAGTTTGCAGTGATACGCAGGTAGAAACTTTTTTCTTCAGTTCATATTCAGGTCTGTTTTGTTAGTCTCCAGATAGCACAACTGGATCCAAGAAATGGCTGAGTTATTCAGTACAGCCCACTAGACTCTGCCCAAAACCAGCTGCAACTGCTCCTCCCTCAGCTTCAAAGGGGGAGTCACACCTCCTCACCTCCGGGGATGTCATTTACTCATCGCTCTGTGAACTTGCACGGTTATGGCAACTAAGAGACAACGCAAGAGATCCACACGTGGTCTCCGGGCACCGGGAACAGTAGCTTTAAACACTCCATCTCAAAACTGGTCAGTTCTCTCTGTTCTTTTATTTCTTCTTTTTCATTCACTGTCAAGCTGCTTCTCGGCTGAATCCTTGGCTCCTGTGCCTTTTATGTGAAGAACAGGCAGATTCACATGACCATTTTAAAGAAGAGCTTGAAGAAAAAAAATCCAAAATACCTGCACTTCATATTGACTTGAACACCTCTACTTTGTGCTGTCGTTTCAGCAGAGGGAGAGGGGAAATACACAGCGACAAAATGATAGACGTGGAATGCCACCTCATCGTATTTCTAGTCCTTAAAAAAAAATAATTAAAAAATAGCGCACCTTTTCTGTAACTGAGGCTTTACAAGGAAGAAATGTTTCCGCAGCACCTTCAGAAGTTGTTTTGGCCTACAAGTAAAAAACTTTTCTTCTGTAACATCAGTTGCAACATGTCCCTGAGATCACAGCCTTCCACAGATTTCTCAATTCAGTTATTTAATTTAATTTTTATTTAGCTTATATGGAGAACTATTTTTCAAAATAAAACAGAACTATTTGCTGATTGGGGAAAGCACATTTTTCACTTATGTATAAACAACAACAATGAAGTTTTGAAGTTTTTATAAGCAATATTTGGGCAGCTGTATATGTATAATCTGAATTTTATGGTGTTTACAGAATTCAGCTTTAATCAGTGCAGCAACTTAGAAGGGTAAACATTATGTTACCTCATATAACAAAGTATAGGAAAAATTACTAAATCTTTCATATATATTAATTTTTCTGGGCTTTTTCCTACCCCTTTCCTTCACCCCTTGCTATAGCTGCAAAACAGAAGTCCCTGACTTACAGAAGGGTGGGTTTAGGTAAACAAAAAAAACCCCAGAACAGATGGACATAAAGAAAACATGAAATTTAGAGCAAGAATGTTTTGGGGCATCTACCAAGCAGGACAAGAGGAGATAAAACACTTGAAAATGCCTCAATTTCCTAGGGAGAAATGAAACACAGATTATTACAATAAGGAAACTCTGAGGATATGTACTGAAGTCATAGCAGAAATAAGACACACACTCATTATGTCAATAGATAAAATTTAAACACTTCTGAGTTCTATACACATTCCCATGGTGCTGCTACCAGAATCACTGAGGTTTCAACAAGGATTTAAATGATAGCAGGCACTGGAAAAGGTGAAGAAGAATATAAAATAAAAGCTGCAAAACACTGTCTATGACTGTCCTGAAGCAGCAACACTATTTGCACAGATGTGTTCAAGGAGATAACTAAATTAGTTTTAATTTAAAAAAAAACCCCAAAACACAAACACACACAAAACGCCCCAAAACCTAACAATTATACACGTTGACCTCATTACCTTCATTAAGTAGTACTGGAAAAAGCATATGGAATGTTATCAATGCAAAATACACTTTTGATGTGTTTCAAATGAAATGCAAACAGTGGTGACACAAGTAATATGAGCTTGAAAAGTAAATAGCACAGGAGAGTGCTACAACTCTCAGTATAGCACGGAGAGTAACCTCTCACTAGTTAAGCAGCACAGATAAATGAAGAATAAAATACTAACAAATAAACAGTTTTTCTCTTGGCACTGAAATGTCACTTATGCCTCCAGAGGTGCGACAGAATGCATTAATCCAGATCCATGAATTACTGCAGGTTGCTCCAGCACACCTTGACATTCATTTGGAAGAAGAAGCAAATTTATTCTTAAAATGAAGGCAGAAAAATTGCACGGGAAATGTTAACAATTTATAACAAAAGTTGCTCAGTAGAAGCTATTACTAAACAGAAACCACTAGGTCAAGTTTCAATAAAGGTTAGATTCAGTTTCAGTCTGAATGACCCCGTATTATTCTAAAACTGTCCATTTTAGGCCTTCTAATACATGAAGTTAGCATATATCCAATTCTGTTACCTGGGAAAGACCAGGAATTGGCAGGTCGGAGGCTACCCCAAGGTGCCTAATCATGCTGTGCAGCAAGTTTTGTAGACAAAGTATGCTTAATAAAATCACATAAGAAAATACTCTATTAATTAAGCTACTGTCCCAGCAGACAAATGTCAGTAGACCATAGCATAAGAAATTAAGGGTAACGAGCTATATTGCAAATTGTCCTTCTGATTAAATAAAAATTCACCCTGATTAAATAATAAGAATTTCTGTGTTTTAACAATCTATCAATCTAAACACCGTTTCAAACGTGAGCTCCAAGCAGGATTTGTGTATTTCTTATCATTCTTTTTTTCCCTCCAAAAATGTTAAAAATCTGTTAAAAAAATCCCAGCCAGTACAACAGAGCAACACACAAGTGTTCTAGTGGTACCAGTTAGAATAACATTTGCCTACTCCCTGCAGCAGAAATATTTATATGTACTTGCCTCCATGCGAACATAATGTGCCCTCTTAAAAGATCCCGTTACTGATGTACAAGTCTGGCAGGGGTAAGCGTCACCCCAGGCTGGTTCACTTTGCCTCGCCTGTAACATGCAATCCAAAATCGCAGCTATTGCTTTTTTAACTTAACGTTTCCATGGCTACAGTATTTTTGTTTGTTCGTGTTCATTATCAGAATAGCTGCTAAAGCTAGTCCAACCCCTAGACTTGGAGGGCCACAAGGACTGAACTCTTGAGCAATCCCAGCAAGGAGCGGGGCAACTATACGTCCCACTGATGTCACAGACTGTCCAACACCTAGAAGTGTCCCGCTGGCCTCATTCCCACCAATGGTCAATTCGAGATCAAGGAGACAAGTACGACCTATAGTGGTTGAAAAGGCTAGGAACGTGGAAGACAAAACGACCATCCATATGCTCAGCGCTGACGCATACAGGAGAATCAAGAGGCAGGTAAGAGCGCTGGAGTGCAACAGAAGTCTGTAAGTGTTGTGCTGATAGAGTCTTGTTATTGGTCCCAGCAGACAACCGGCCAGGACTCCAAGCGCACTGCTATAGCTCATTAGGTATCCAGAGAACAAGGGTTTCACCCCAAATCTCTCCTCCAAGGACAGACTAAAATTACTGTAGTACAGCAGTATAGCAACAGACATCAGCAACCGCACTAAAAATATATCCCACAGATCAGAGCACGCAATTCCTTTAATCCTCTTCAGCACCGTCGCAACTTGCATCCACGGAGACTCGAAAAGACGGTCGCTTCCCACAGCTCCGTTAGCTGCCGATTTCAAGCGCTGGTCACGATTTGCTTTTGCTGAGAAACTCTCTGTTCCTTTGCTGCCTTGCTGACATTCCCTATTGCCAGTGTTTTCTTCGCTCCAGGGTAACATCCAGACAAGACCTATATAGATCAAGAAATTGGATGATTTCATTCAATTGCATTAACTCTACGTGGAAGATGTTAGTCTGATTGTAACAGTTTACTTAGCGTAAAGATCAAAATTCTAAAAAGGACTTTGACAATCTCTTAACTTTAAAAAATTACAAAGATTAAGTCTAGTATTATTCACAGTATCGCTTCAATTCTAAATGCAGTGAAAGCAAGGAAGGAAAACACTGAGGTGATGCATTTGCAACATACGAACAAATCTAAGGGCTAAAGCCAAAATTTTGATTTCTAGTCTTCACCTTTGGGCATATTAAAAATTCCCATTCCTGTGTCTGAACATAAAAGTGACATATACAATGCAAAGGAGAAGCATCTGGAGGTCAACTGTTTCAAAATTCCTGCCCTTCCACACAGGTTCAAATTCAAAGGGTAGTATCAGTATACAGAACATGTCTGCCATAGGTGATAAACACACCACAAACTCAAGGTATTACAAATGGCATAAAAACACAAGAGTGAGGAACGAAGGGACCCAAGATGCAAAATACGACATACAACTTACCAGCATTCAGAAGGAAGATAGAGGCGCAGATGAAGGACGTTTGATAGAAGCCATCTTCCAACTCTGCAAGGTAGCCACCAACAACAGGCCCCAGAATGAAGCCCACACTAGAGGCTGCATTGAAGCGTCCCATTACTAAAGGGCGGTCTCTCTCAGAAACCAAGTCAGAAAGCAGGGCTTTAGAGATGGAGAGCGTGTGTTTGAAAATACCTGCAACATAATAGAAACAAAATAATAAACACGAATTGCTCAGTCCACAAGATTAAAATGACAGAAGCTATTTGAAATATCAGTGGTCAAAATCTGTATGACTGATATTTTTAAGACTCCTTTAATCACAAATTTTTCAGTGCTACAGTCATGCAGCACATTAGGCCATGGCCATCATCCTGGCTGTTCAAGGATTTGGACTCAGGAATCAAAATTATTCAGGTGTCTGTGCCGAAGGAGTGCTCCTGCAGCCCCGCTGAAAGAAGTTACTGAGCTGAGTGCTGAAGCACACTAGAAGAAAATAGCAGCTAAAATAGGAACTTGTGGGTGGGTAATGGTGGAGTAGGAATGGGCTTGTCTGTTTGTGAACAGAGCTCTGTACCAACTTCACTGAGCATGAAGATTTCCAGGATCATAACACACCAGATTCATATGGGAAACTAGTGGGTGGCAAAATAAGAGCAAGGAAGGGTAAGCATACTGCCAGAATACAAATAATGCAACCTTTTATGTTCCTTCCCTTTGACCAGGGCAACGCTGTCACAGAGTGCTGTTAGCATTAAAAAATATTACCTCTACTAAAGTGATCAATTATCAACCAAATAATGCATTAGCAAATTGCCTTTAAATTAAGAAACAATATTGACAGTTCCTAAATAAAAACTATGGGCCATAAAAGTGTCCTTTAGTAGATGTGCTCATAGTAATAGCAATGCTTATTATATCAAAATATATGCAATAGGTGTTCAGCTATTTTAAGAACCCTGATACAAACCCTGTCACAAACATAGCTTCAAGTGCTGCAAATATACGTGCTTTTGCACAACATAAATATTCTCTTGAAGCAGTGACCTAAAGTTTCAGTCAAATTTCATAGTATCACTTTGAGGTACATTTTCAGCATGAGAAAAAACAGTAACGCACATATCGTCCCATTCTCCACTGCAGGTGCAGGCCAGTATTTCCAGCAGTAATCTGGTGTATTGTGTACCTGTGTACTTTACAACAGCTTCTTTCAAAAAGTTCCTGCACTCCTGTTCTCACAAAATTCAGCCATTCGAGGTGGCACAAAAGTTGTGACACTTGTTGAGTATACATTTAAAATTATTTTCAGAAAAAAGTCATAAGAATGTTTGCTTTTTAGAGATTTTCTCATTACAGAGGTTCAGCTGGTGCTGCTGGGCGATGATGCCATGTAGCCATCCACATACCATCATTTCTCTAGCAGTAATTCTCAAGCTGAGATTACAGAGAATTTAAATTGCAAAAGGCCAAGTGTTTACTCACCTACAGGGACTCTAGAAATGGCAAACAGGAACACAGTGGTGGATGTTCCAAGAAGGAAGTAACCCAGTGCACTGAGAAGAATACAAGCAAGCAGGGAATACCGTCTTCCTACTATATCGCTCCAGCAGCCCTTTCCAAAGCAGGAAATTAAGATTAGTTTTTTATAACATCTAGCTAGGTACAGTGAACAATCAGTACTTCTAAATTAAATTGAGAAAAAGAGATCAAAGGACTGTCAATGAAAGCTTAATAAGCTTATTACACAACATTCCTAAGTGCTCAAAATCTGGAAGTCATGAGCAGAGTTCTGCTTTGCTGAAACTATGATTCCATTTAATGTCACGCATAGAACTTTTTAAAATTTAATGCATCTCTTTTAAAAATACAGTCCTGCGATAAACACCACGAAATATTAGTAGTAGGGGGTCTCTGAAAATGTTCTCGCAACCAACCACAAATATTTGTTTGCATCAATGGTTGGTACGTACTAGACAGTTGTGGAGCATCCTAAAAGGAACGATCCTAGCTATGAGAAGTTTGTCATCTGAGTGCAGACAGGCAGGAAGCAGTTAGGAGCAGGGCAAACAGCAAACTTGCATTCAGCATGCTTATAAATCAGCTTGATTCCTAAGAGGAAGTAGTTTTTTAAGAAAGTAGGCAATGATCTTGCAGTTCAAAGAAAACGCCACCGGATTACAGAAGCAAATTGTCCCAGGTGGCCTACATGACAAACCCTGCAGCCTTTTTTTTTCCAAGAGACGGATAAAATCTGCTCTCTTGAAAGCTAGGAGGTACCAGGGTAATATTAAAAGTGCTCCTGGCTAAATATAGGGATCTAAGGTATTGATAGGTAAAGCACGCATTCAAGAAGTTTAGTCCTTGCACTCGTGCTTAGATTAGGATGCAAAAAGTCAAAAGCTAATAGAAAACAAAATCAAACAAAGCTCAAAGATGTAATGCATGACTTTAGGCCATATGGCAAATTACAAGGCACTGCTCTTTAAGCAGGGAAAGCAAACTCCAGATAACAGGCTTGCGAAGCGCTGACCCCTGAGGCTGCTTTTTGGACAGGCTACTGCACTGAAGGAAACTGCTGTACTGGCATCAAGACTGAAGACAACCCTGCGTGACTACGACGTGCTCAGTACTGTATCTGAGCCCAAATCTGGATTCTAGTTTTTGTCTAAAGACCCTGTGTTCTGTTTAGTTCTGAAAAATCTGGCAATTCAAATGAAACAAACATTTTCCATGCAAACTAAAAACTGGCTTCTCCAACCTAAAATTCTTTTACAAACACTATAAACATTTTCAAAATGTCAGGAAATACCATTATTATTAACCTCATCTTTTTCCCCCCTAATATCCATAGAAATACCTACGTACTCAGGAACACAGTGTTAGAACTCACCACAAATGTGCTGGAAAACAGTTGCATTATACCATAGAGAGATCCTAAAACAAACAATTAAAACACCAATGTTAAAAATTAAACTTAATTTTTTAAAAATGAAAACTGCACAAAATTTTAAATGAGGAAACATGAGAGAAATTCTGGGAATAATTTACTAGAAGACCAGGAAGAGGGACCAGGACAAATCAAGGGTGGAGTTTAGCACATGGAAATCCAAGGAAACAGTTCAGGAATAACAAAAAAAAAATAATCAAATGCTGAAAACTCATAAAACTATATAATGTAGAAGAATGTTGCTTTGTATGGTTTATTAAACAAAACAGACCTTGGCATTTATAACTGCTTTCTCAGAATCAGGAGAGAATTCCGTTACTGGGAGGCACTAATTACTTTCCACTTGGCACTTCAACCTATTACAAGGCACCACAGAAGCCCCGAAGAAGCCAGAGACCCTACTCTTTCATTTTGGAGGCTAAGAGTTTAGCAGCAGTTAGTGACAGAAGAGAAAAAGCAAGGAAAAGCAGAGAGAAACATCTGCCAGCCTCCTTCATTTGTAAGAACACACCTCAAAACGCAGTTTCTTTTAAAGTTAAAAATCAAAGCAGGCTGTTGAGATGAAAACGTGTTCTTGGTGAATTCCTGCTTAAAATACTACTCTGTAAACTCAGAGCAGAACCAGAATTATTTCATGAAAATTGCTAAATTTCATCCAAAATAAAAAAGTAATAAAAAACTGAGTAACAGAGCTCATATCAAACACACATAGCTATGAAGAATATCATAGTTGTAACATCACAAACCATAAACAGTACCATAAGATATAAATAAGAGCTTTAGAACCACAGAACTTGTCTTACCACTTCATTTTTTAAGATAAAATTCCAAACCTTCAGAATTTACTTGTAAACACTCCTTAAAAGACAACAAATATTTTTCCAAAAGACAGCTGCAAGGAATTTAATCAAACTGGGAGCAATCATAGGCACTGGAAAACTCAGGAGAACCACCTGCAGAATCACTATGTGCAAAGCCTGTGAGTAACAATAAAAATACAAGCAACATCTCTGGCTCACAAAGTTGCCGAGCTGTGAATTCTTGGATGCTGGCAAAGCATCTGCACAAGTATTACTGCAAGACTTCCTTGTTCTTTACAAGAATGCTCTTTCCCAAGCACTTGCTTTAAGCTGCTGTTGATGTGCAAGGTCAGACAGGTCTTTGGCTCTAACACAGTACGGCTGCCCTTACAGTTTTACAGGGAATTTGGCACTACTTTTTATTATGTTTCTAGCAAGCAAGAATTATGTTACAACGTCCAATGTGCAGTAAGGCACACTCCAGTCCACATTATCTTATTCTTTGGTAAATCAGTCAAGTACTGCAACTCACCTATTATTCCAGCAACTGTATGACTTGCTCCTAGAGATTTGATATGCAGGTTCATTAAAGGAACAACCATGCTCACACCAAATAAATCCTGGAAAGAAGGCAGGAAAAGTTTTAATAACAGATCACTTCTGCAAAGATTGTAGCAACCTGGCTTAGTAACAGTCAACATTTTTTAAAATGTTACATTATTTCCATATCGATACATAATTAAAAGAAAATTTTTCATGGCCAATGTGGTATGTTGTAAGCTCTACAATGCATGTACAAAATTACAAAAAAATGTAAACTGAAAGATAAAGGATTGCCTCACTGAGCAGTTTGACCTACGAAAACAGCAATTCTCTTTCCCCCCTCCACATACAATCATTCTGAAGATATATATTTAAACATTAAATATTCCTTTAACATACATCAAACTTTATCTGTTTAAAGGAAAAGTACTTGTATTTTAAATTCAAAGTGGTCTGTAATTTTAATCACCTAAAATGCTTCCTAGTAAGAGAGTATATTTGGAAAATCTAGAGTATTTTAACTTTCAACTATAATCGGGAAGAAGCCATGGTAGTTCTAAACTTACCTACAGACTGCCTTTCTGAGTAACTTAAGAAATGTCATGAAAACACAAAAACATGAAAAAACGAAGAAGAAAGAAAAAAAGCAAAGCATAAGTGAAAAACTTTTTGTAAGAGGAGGGCAAAGGACGCTGCCCATCCCGAACAGTACAAGGATCTCCTACTTGATCCTTCTGACTTTTTAGCTTTTGTTAAGCCAACTACAGTGACCCAGTAGTTCTTCTGCTGTATGCTCCTGGCACAGCATATAGTGTCCTACATCAGAGCAGAACCTTACAGAAGAGATCTGTTGGAATAAGATCACCTTTTATCATTGACTGTGTGAGCTGAACTAGACTTATGGACTACTTCACAGCATGCCCAAACCCAGAATAACTGTAACAATGTTTATCACTAAGTAAATTCTCACAGTCTGTCATTAAGTATCTTTTGATGGTTGAAATTGAGATTTACAAAGTTAGAACCTTTATTAAACATATTAGCAGGAGCAAATAGACCACATGACTTACAAACACCTTCAACAACACCATCTTATGGCTCAATAAGCTATTCCAAGCACTCACATGCACAATCATGGAATAACAGCATAAACCACTTGGAAGGGACCTCAGGAGGTCTCTAGTCCAGTTTTCCACTCACCGTAGGGCCAGCTCTGAGGTCAGACCTACTCACTCAAGGCTTTATCCAGTCACGTCTTGAAAACCTCCATGGATGGAGACTGCACAACCTCTCTGGCAACCTGTCCCGCTGCTTGACTGTCCTCACAGTGAAAAAGGTTTTTCTTAAATTGAAACAACAGGTTCTGACTGGAAATAGGACCTTTTCTCTCTCCCTCTCTCTCGCCATGCACAGTACTGACGAGCCTGTTCTCCAGCTTCCTGTCAACGTCCTTGCAGGGAACGGAAAGGCAGCTGCTGGGCTCCCGTCAGCTTCTTCTCAGAGGGTGTTCCACCCTGACAAGCATCCTGGTGGCCCTGCTGGGAACTCAATCTGACCTAGACATGGTATTTTAGATGCAGCCCCATGAGCGCTGAGTGAAGGATTGCTTGCTTCCCCGCTCACATAGCCCAGGATGCTGCTGGCTGCCTCTCCCCCCAGGCATGCTGCTGGCTAATGTTCAGCTTGGTCCCCGCCAGGGCCTTACCAGCAGAGCTGCTCCTCAGCCCGTTTATTTGGAAGGGGTTCTTCCTTCCTTGGTGCAGGACTCGACAAGTAGTCCTTGCCAAGTTTCATAAGGCCCCTGTCTGCTCAGCCATCCAGCCTGGCTAGGTCCTCCTAAACTGCACCCCCTACTTAAGTGTCATCTAAAAACCTGAAGAGAGGTTCAATGACCCCATCCAGTTCATTGGTATAGACATTAAAAAGGACAAGTCTCAGAATATACCCTGGCAGTACTGGACTTGTCATAGGCGAGCAGGTAGAGCAATACCCATTAACCCCTGTCCTCTGATGGGCAGTTATTTCTCATTTCACCTATAATTTCATATGTCAGATTACAGCTAGACAGTATTTGCTTTTTACAGGAAGCTTGCATCACAGGCAACAGCCCTTTGTGACCATATTTCACCACACTTTACACCCTCTAAAAGGACACTCACTTCTTGTTTGACTTCAGTCTGTACTCCATGCGCCAGGTCAGCAAGGTATTGCAGAGTTGGCAAAACGCAGTGTTTAAAAGCTAAGAAACAAAGTTTGTTCTAACACACCTTTTCCTGGAATATTTGCTTCAGGACACAAACCAACAGATTGTTTCTACTGCCCAGCCTAAAGGCAGGTAAGAGAATAGATCTACATTTCACAGTGCAAATTTGTACTAATTTTGCATTCATTTTCCAAGTTATGCCTTTTAATTTTAAATTAATTAAATGACATTTTCCTGAGGCTCATGAATCGCTGCAGAATACAAACCTTCCTTAAAGTTTATACAATATGTTCCTTCGTTCTTCTGGTAAGGTTTTAGGGTTTTGGGGTGGTTTAGTTTTTCTTTAGAAAAAGCACAGAGGTTTTTTGTGAGGGGGTGGTTTGGGTTTTTTTGTTTGTTTGTTTTTTTAATTCGTAGGTTCTTGGGTTTTTTTAGTTTACACTAAGCACTGGTATTTCAAGGACACAAGGCACAGCTCTCTGATCGGCAGAAGGCAACCCTTCGCTTTAAGGGCGCTAAGCTATTCCATTTCATTCACCGGATACAAAACATACCTCTGTATCAGGCTGCACGACTGTTTGCATAGATAAAACGCTACGGCTGCCAC